CTTTCCCTGGGGCTGACTGTGTCACACATGTCCCCGCTGATGTGGCACCACCCCAGTAGCCCGGGCTATTCCGATTACACCATGACACAGACACGCTGACCGAGGCTCAGCACAGCCATTCAGCCTGGGCTGGACAGGGCAGGGCTCCTGCCCATGGGGCACCCCCGGTGCCATCTGGACCCTGACAGCTCTGTGGGAGGCGAGGATGGGAATCCAGCCCCACAGGCTCCCCCTCCCCAGCCCAGATGGCCGCTGACCCACCAGGGCTGTGAGGATACTGCCAGCCCAGGTAGTGACCAGCTCTGAGAGGTGAAATGAGGGGGTGCTGTGCAAGGGGCCTAGGGCTGAGCAGGACGGAACCAGCCTCCACCCTGGCTGACCCTGCCAGGTGCCGCGGCCTCTGGCCATGAAGAAGGAAAGCATCCAGACGCGGAAGCGGAAGCCGAAGACAGCCACCAAGCCCCGGGGCCCCTCAGGTGCGCAGCAGCCCTACTGTCAGGCGTCCTGCCTCCAGTCCTGCCACGAGAGACCTGTGTGTGTTTGGTTCAAGCTCTGTCCTCTGGAAGTCCAAATGCCCCCAGATCTGCCCTGTAGTGACTTTGCTGGGGGATGTGGGGGGCCAGGGTGGTGACAGCAGGTGGGCGGCAGGGGCTGAGGAAGCCACGCCCTGCCCAGTCCCCACCCACGCCCGAGGTGTGCCAGAGAGTAGTCTCCAACCTCTCTGGGCCCAGGCCACAGGAGACTTTGCCACATGGCAGGAAGGGGAAGTGAGGGCACACCTGGCCCCTCTGTAAACACCTCCTCTTCCCTCCCAGGAGCCACAGCAAAGGCCTCCGCCTCCCCATCTACTGTCCGCAGCACTGACAGCTCAGTGGTCACGTTGAAACCTGAGTCCCGCCTGGTGTCCCCTATGTGCCCTGGGTCCGGTGCGGACCCCCAGGTGAGGGGGTGGGCATTGGTGGGGTGCCCAGAGCTGGGGCCCCTGTGCTCCCTCAGCCCAGTCAGATCCTATCCAAGCCCCTCGCAGCCACTGCTGCCAGGTGGGCTGGACACCCCGTCAGCTTTGGACCATCACTGTGGTATCCCTTCCCCCAGAGCTACCTCTGTGGCCAATGTTGGGGGAGCACTGATTTCTCAGGAGGGGTCCCACATGCCATTCCAAGGCATCGAGGGGTCCCGAAGGGCAACCGCGGTCATGGGAGCTCCTCAGAGGCCACAGCCCCTCCCACCACCCCAAATCCTCATGCTCTCCTGTCCCTGCAGGCCTCCGGCCAGGAGGATGACTCCTTTGCCCCCGGCCACTTGGAGTTCAAGTTCGAGCCTGAGGATTTTGCCTTCCCCTCCACAGCCCTGAGCTCCCAGGCTGGCCTTGGGGGGGCTCTGCGCCAGGAGGCCTGGTGTGCGCTGGCCTCAGCCTAGGTCCCCAGGCAGCCTCCGTCAGGGGAACAATCTGGAACAGAGCAACCACTGATTCACTACGTGACTCCTTCACTCCAGCACAGCAGAAACCAGCAGGCCAGAGACTGGGTGTCCTGGAGTCTCCTCGAGGCGGTAGGGAGGCCTTCTGTGCATCGGGCAGTCAGCCCCAGAGCAAGAAGGCTGGTGAGGAAGGGCCCAGCTCCCCACCCCACGCACAGCAAGGGACTCCCCATGTGCGGCCAAGGCTCCGGCCCACACTGGCCACCCTGCGGCGGCCAACCCAGGGCACCACCGCCAGCTCGAATTCCGTCCTCAGCGCGCACCGTCAATCTGTTTATAGTTGCAACAGTTGGGGAAAACAATCAAGCTCCCAGTGCAGAACCAAGATGCCAAGCGAAGAGCCTGAGGGAGGGGAACGAGGGGAGCAGCTGGGCATGGGCCTCCCAGGGCCTCCGCTGTCCTTCGCTGTCCCCACTGAGACGGAGCTGGGTGCGGGGAGCTGTCCCGCAGCCGATGCAGCACTGCCAAGGATGGGTGTGCAGGCCACACATGGTGCCAGGATACGCCACGGGGAAGCCGTTCTTACTGCGGTCATCACAGGCATGTGCACTTGTTCAGACGGCTTTTCCAGAGGGGCTGGGAAGGGCCCTGTCCTGGCTGACTCTGTATCATAACGGTTTTTACAGGCAGAGTGAAGTGTCCGGGAGCCCTGCCCTGACCCATCCAAGTGCTGCTGGGGCTGGTGGCGATGTGGCCGCGTGTCCTGGCTTATGTGGGGCTGTGCAGTTTAGTCTCTTGTCCCAACAGAATCGTTAGTGATCTCCTTTCACTTGCAAGCCCCCTCCACACTGGGTCACACTGGCGAGAGGCACCCTGCCCAAGGCAGCTGTGAATGCCAGTGACTTCATGTCCAGGAGGCCATAGGGAGCAGAGGAGCCGGCTGGCCACAGCGCCCTGCACAACTTCTCCCACCTGGCTCAAGAGAACTCAGCCAAGGCCCCGCGTCCTCACCTCCGCCCAGTTGCTACATTTCACCTGCAAGGCCTGATTTTTCCAGCAAAGCCAGAAACTTGGATTTTAAGTCTTCCAATTTGATTCAAAAACCTTTTCAACATTGTGAGCCAGCTAGACCCCCATGCACTGCCCCATTTAAAACTTTTATATTTAAAAACACTTGTGTCCCACGTGTGAAATAAAGCCTTGAACCTCACTCTCCCCCATCCATCACCCATGGGGTCTCACAGCCCCACCGCGCCGTCTGGTCACCACCCTCCTGGGGATTTTCAGCAGCCCTCTACATTCAGAAACATCCCCGGCCCCCTGTGTCCCCGCCAGGTGCCCTCAAGGGCATTTCCAGGCCCTGCTGGTGCTCAGGACCACTGATGCCCCCAGGTCCCCAGCAACTGGAGGGGGCAGCGGGCAGGCAGGCACGAGGCTCAGCAGTGGCACTCAACAGGCCTGGGTCCTGGCCCGGTGCTGCAGCAGAGGGATTAGCCTGGTGGATACCTCCATTCCCCCAGGCTGAGTTCCTGCTCAGAGCCTCCTCCCAGCCAAGGAGGCTCCTTGAAGCCTTCTCCTCTTGGAAGCCTTCCCTGCCTGCTCCCAACCTCCTCCATCCTATCAGGCACTGGGGTGGGGGCTATGGGCAGCTCTAGTAACTTCTATAGCTGCCAGCCCCCGCCACTGGACCTGGCTCGTGAAAGAGTTCAGACAAGGCCCACGTTCCAGCCCATGTAGTGGGAGCCACGCTGGGGATTTTCAGCTCCGCAGGATCTGAGGTGGGCCCGGGAATGAGCATTTTAATCAGGAACCCCTCGAACCTGCTAGGTGCCTGGAGGCCAACACTTTGAGAAACCGTGCTCTAGGATGGCTTTAGGATCTGAATCCAATTCAAGTCCCGGCCCTGCTCATCTGGCCTGGGAAGGGGGTGTGGGGGAACGGGCTGCAGCAAGGTGGCACCTGTAGGTGACATGGTACCCACTATATGGGGCCCATGTGGCATCCAGGCGCCATTGGGGTTCACTCGCTACTGTCCTGTCTCCAAGCTCAGAAGCCTCAGGCTGCCTTCCTGGGTGCCCGTGCAGTGAGGACACAGGCCCAGGGAGATTGAGGGTCACCTCCCCATCCTGGCTCCTGCATGGCACCTGCACATCTGCCTCAGGGCTCGTGCTGGGCCACTGGGTCCCCGAATGGGAAAACAGGTGACAGTGACCTCTACAGGCCTCTCCAGCGCAGGCCACAGCAGGAAAGGGCAGTCTGTCCCCTCGCAGGTTGGACATTCGCTGTCTCTGGCACCTGCAGGGCTGACCTGGGGAGTGAGTCCATGTCTCTATGGAAGGTAAGGCCAGCCCAACCCGTTTTCTGCACCCCAGACCCTGGGTGAGGGGACGATGGGGCCACAGACCCGGGGGAAGGAAGCCTGAGTTCGGTCTCAGGAGATGGCGGGAAGCCGCAGAGCTTTCTGGGCCAAGGAGCTGGGGCTGGAGGCAGTCGGTTGGTGACTGTCTGAGTCCTCTTTTCCACATGGGCGCCTGCCCATGCCTGCTGCTGGGTGGCACTGCCAGCCTCTGCCCTCGCACTCCCTGCTCCCAGGAAGCAGGTGTTGGTTTTCCTCTTCCCAGATGAGAAACACCATCGCTTAGCAAGGTGACCCAGGTGCCAGGGTCAGAGGGCACCGCACAGCGTCCCCAGACCACAGTGCTGGGTACAGTGGAGTTGCCCTGTTGCTTCTGTTCCAGCCTCAGTTTCCCCACCTTTGCTGGGGAGGGGGTGCCCCACATCCATGGATTACATGTTTGTAATCCATGCGCTTGTGTAGCAGGCGGGTTCTGGGGAGGCCCAGTATAGGGAGGTAGTACCAGGCACCGATCCCTACCTGGAGAGGCTTTCTGGAGGTGTTTTCAGGGGGCGTGCAGGACAGGTAGGGTCCCCACAGGTAGAGAGGAAGGAGTCCAGATGCTGACCGGGCTGGGGGACTTTGGCCCTGGACATACCCCATCCATGAAGGGAGAACCCCAGAGGAAAAGGGGCGGTTTGCTCATGAGCAAGGGGGAAGCAACCCTTTCCCTGTTTTTATTCCATTTTAGGGATGTGTCCAGGATGATGGAGGCTGACAGCTCCACCAGTGGGCATGGTCACTGCTGCTAAATTTAAGCCTTTCTCCTCTTGGGGCGGAAGCCATGAGGACCAGGCCCTTAATATAGCAACCAGGCACCCCTCCCACCGCCCTTCCTCCTGCCAACCCACCCTGTGCGCTGCCTAGCGGGCTGTAAACAACCAGCTGAGCTGAAGGCTGGCAGCAAAGTGTCCCGGCCCCTTATGAGAGCGACAGGACTAAAAGGAAGGTCCTTTTACCTGCACTGCAGGGACCTGGGCGCACTCACTCCCCATCACCTAAAGCAGATGCCAGGTGCCTGCGGGAGGAGGCACCACGCTTGGAAGTCCCCAAGGGCCTTGCAGGGGCCCCTCCAGCCTGCAGAAAGTGTCCACAAGCCCCACGGTGCTCCGTCCTGCGGGAGGCAGAAGACCCTGGTGACATCTCACAACTAAACGCAGGAGACACAAAGAAAGAAGAGCCGTAGGGCCACCAACTGGGGCGCCTCAACCCGGAGCCAGTTATAGAGCCTCCCACTTCAAGCCCTTCATTTATTGCTTCATTCAGGGCAGAGCAGCAAGGCTGACAGTGTCCGGGGCCCTGGGGCTGTGGCCCTCCCTCCTCAAAGCAGGCCCTCAGCCTCACTCTCCCAGCATTCCCCAGCCTCGCATCAGCCAACCGACAGGGCGCTCCTTGGTGCCCATGGGTGCCCCTTGGCCAAGCAGCGACTCAGGATCCTGAGAGCCGCCGGAACAGCCTTAAACCCAACAGGGTGGCTGGGTCCCGGGACGTGTCACATCCCCACTGTGCGAGGCCAGAGCTTCCAGGGGTGGGCTCAGGCAGAGGATCCGCCTCTCCTTTGCTGTTGCAAAAGACAGCTCATGGCTAAGTGTTGGTGAAACCTCTCAGGCGCTCTTCTGAAACATGCACCATGCTCATTCAGGAGGGAGATGGGAGGCTGAGGTGGGAGGATCACTCGAGCCCAGGAGGTCGAGACCAGCCTGGGCAGCAGTGACAGCCCATCTCTACAAAAATAAAAATAAAAAAATTATCCGGGTGTGGCGGCGTCTGCCTGCTGTCCCAGCTGCTCAGGAATCTGAGGTGGGATGGTCACAGTGAGGGGTGACCGCACCGCTGCACTCCAGCCTGGGTGACAGAGCAAGACTCAGTCTCAAAAAAAGAGGAACATTGTTAACAAGTGGTGCCTCCAGTGAGGATATTCTCAGAAGACGGTTCCCACTGTCACCATCATTAAGGAGGTCGTTCCACCACCAGGGACACTGCTGTCATGCCTGAAAGGGACGTCCTCACCCTGCTGTGCTGGTGCCATAGCCTCGCAGGCTGCAGGCTGTGTGTGGCTTGGCTGCCTTCTCCAGGGGTGTGGACTGCCTTCGGGGACAGCCAACTGGACATGGACTGAGTCAGGGCCGGGTGTGAGGTGGGGAGGGCAGGGTAGGGTGGCTGAGTGAGCAGAGAAGAGAGAAGGTGGGGATGCCCAGGACAGAGGGGAGGCAGGACAGGCTCTCATGTGAGAGCAGCCGGATCCACAGCCTCAGGACTTGTGTTTCTGGGAACACCAAACCTGCCTTCCGAAGCTGGCCAGTACCCGGTATATACCCCAGCCCAGGCTCACCGCGGCAGGAGCAGCCGGCAGTGACCCTCGGGCACCCTGGGTCCAGCCTCCTCCTTGGAGGGCCACAGTGGAAAGGGGCATGGTGTGTACGTGGTGGGTTTCCTGAGGGAGGCTTCGTGCAGCTCTTCATACACCAAGGCCCAGGCTCAGATCCCCTCAGCAGCAACCCCCGCCTGTGCTGGCCCGGGCCCCATCTCCACGTGGCCCCCAGGTGCAGGGCAAGCAGCTGGAAGGTGAGGCCCAGGGAGCGAGCACCCAGGCCCCCCTCCGACATCTGCCTCGGCACCATGTCCAGGCCCTCCACACACCAGGAACCCCAGCCACCGATGAAAGTGAGGGTTGAGGGACCCGGCACCCCTGAGGCTGTGAGGCTGTGGCTGGGGACAGACACCAGGGTGCCCACATCCAACCCCCTACAGGCACCTCAGTAGCGTAGGCTGCCTAAGCCCATAGCCTCCCGGGGCGGGGGGGTGGCTGGGGTGGGCACCCCTCCCCCACAGTGCCCTGTGTGGCCGCCAAGTTGTTGACACGGGCGGCTCCAGCCGCCTTATTTATTACCTGATAACGCACTCTTGGCCCTGCTGCTGGACGGTGTTGGGCGCACTGGGGCCGCAGGCCTGGGGGAGGAGGAAGGCGGGCAGGGGACCGAGCCCAGCCGCGGCCACACCACAGCCAGGGACACTGAGGGATCCCCCTGCCTCCTCCTCCATGCGGGCCAGCCTTCTCCACAGCCCAACAAGCCAGTGAGCCTAGAACAAGCGGCCCCCAAGACCTGCCCTCCCTGGTCCCGGCAAAGCCCCAGCAGGCCCCTCCTCTCCGTGCCCCTCACTCGGCTCCAGCGCAGCCTGCCCCCCATGCAGCCCACCCCCCACACCCCTTCGCTTGCCCTGCTCGAACTTTCCCCAATGCAAATCTGGTTCTATTTCTTCTTTGCATCCAAACCCTCCCTCCCTCCCAGCTGGGCTCTGCTGCAGGCACCTCGAGCCACTGGCCCCACCCTGGTGCCCCGTGGCCTCAGGCCCGCCCATCCTGACACCTGCTGCACTGTCAGCTGCAGGACCCTTGCGGTGTCCAGGCCCCTCACGCCTCGGGGTCTCCACACCTGTTGTTTCCTCGGACCCACGGCCCTCCTTCCTCCATCCAGCCCAGAACATACTGCTCAGCAGTCGGCTGAGGGCCTCTGATGCCACCACTGCCACCTCCATAGCAGCAGGAGGAGTCAAGGTGCACAGGGCCTCCCAGGAGGCCCCTGGCTGTGTGGACAACCCGCATGACGGCGTGCACACACCTGCATGCACCTGAGAGCCGGATGTGTGGATATACCAGGTGTTCGGACATTGTGATGAGCGGCATTGGGTCCTCTTCTCAGTGGCTGCCCAGGGACCACCTCCCACCTCGGGTACCTGCTGCCAGGTCTCCAACAGATGGAGCCATCGCCGGCCCCTGGGCTGCCCTGGGACTATGGAACAGCAGGGTTCCAAAG